TATATATATATATGTTATATATATATTATATATATATATATATATATATATATATATATATATATATATATATATATATATATATATATATATATATATATATATATTAAAGTAAAAAATTCAGAAAACTGCCAATGTTTGGGTTTTGCGCCTACATGCGCAAAAGCGTTGCGAAGCAACTCAACTCACCTGCCCCTTCTGACAGCTTTCGGTTCAAAAACTAAAAATTGAACACAATTTCAAGTTAGGAAAAGCTATGAAAAAACACAGTTTCACATAGTAAATCTCTTATCTTATTTATACTGAGTCCCAGATAACACTGCTGCACAAAACAGCGAAAATTTCGTCGATTGTCAAATTTTCATCATTGGATCCAATTTGGATTACTAAAACCGCCGCTCAATGTGTTGAGCTGTCGAGCTGAAAGCGAGTTTTTCCCAATTTCAGTGCACGAAATATTTTCGTGACGACCTATAACCCTATCGTAGAAGACGTGCTTATCTCTGCTCTGTAATGAAACTGAATCAAATGTACAATAGCGTTTTAATAAGATCTTACCAGTGTTATCAACCATGATAAAATAGTCCGACGTAAAACGGACATTCTTTGAGACTTTGAAGTATCCTCCACACTATTTTATCTCAAATTCACTATAAAACAGTTATTTCAAATTCATAATTAGTTTTGCTATCCGTCCTTCGCAGCATACTTTATGTACTACTTAAAAAGCATACTTAACTGGTAATATGACACTGTCATGTAAGTAAATTTGCATATATTTTTTTTTCGGACAAATTTTGTCGCCTTCTATAATAAAAATATAAACACGTACGGAAACTAGAAAAGCAAAAAATCATAAAAGAACGGACAAATCCGATAATTTTTAGCACAGCAAGAAATCTATATGATGTCTGGTCGTATCGGCAGAAAAATATAAGTATTGTCTGACGTACATTATTGTCTCACGTACAGACATTATTAGAGTATTCTGCGCCATAAATATTCAAATAGAAAGAGATATATGCTTTAACCTTTATCAACTAACATTTGCAGGGTTTAGGAAGGCATTTACAAAAACCAAAAATGCTTGTCATATACGTTGAGCGAGTTATCCTTAAATGAGCCAATATATATGAGTTAAACTAGTCGACAAGATACGAACCAGCTGCACTGCAGTTCAAATATTAGTGATGCTAATAATAAAATTATATTGGGAATTGTTAATAGGATTGTAATTAAATTTTAAAGACTGAACTGCATATAACGAGTATTCATAAAATTTTACTTAGGTGATTCATCAGTTCTGGAAATGAGAATTTGCTGAAACTTTCCATGCAGGGGTGAAGTTTATGATATGCTCATAGTAAAAACAGAAAAAAGTTAGGGTCACCGAACTCGTTTCGAAGATATGACAAGTGCCAGAGGACAAGTGCAATATGCCACTTTTCCCCTATCTTGACCCGTTTACGACTTACAGAAACAATCGCAATTGCTCAACCGATACTGAATTTTTTAAACAAGGATCCTATAAAAATGTCTATCTAGTGATTATATACAAGAAAACATGGTATTCTAGCGAATCAAAAACCATTGACGTTCTTCTCAGACATGTTATTGTGGGAGGCATGCGCGAAAAATGTAAAATATGATAAGTTGTAGAAATTATTTTTCTCTTATTTTCTGATATGACATGTAAAACGTATAGCAGAACAAAAATATAAAATAAAAAGGTAGGGTCACAGACATTCTTAAAGAGATACAAGGGTTAAACATGCAACATGATGTGGTTTAGAGTGTTAGTTGCACAGGACCCCTACAACTCTCTTGTCATTTTTTGAAGGAATATTTCCTGAAACATGCCTAATTGCAGAATATTTTTCTCTTTGCCCTTACTCTTTCTGTATCACTTTACATTGCAATTGGACTACATATATTAGCTAGAATTTGTTGTTAGAAATGTGCAGTAAAAGTGCGCAATGCAAAACTGATGAATACAGGCAACTATAACAATAACATAAACTGACGTCTTCAATGAATGGCAAACTGTTTAATATTGTTTCGTGCACATGTGAATAGCCGTAAATATCATCGAGATAATTTACATGGTAATGAATATTATCGAGTCATATTACAATGTCATGGTGAACTATGTATGTGCAACACAATAATATATTGAAAAACTATACAAATTATTTGTACTAACTAACTAAATAAGCTAATACTAGTATACTCAGTGTTAAGCGAGCTGTCAAGTAAACCACTGAGCTATATATATCTGGAGTAAGAAATTCAGTCATTCGGTCTATGAGAAAAGTGAAGCCAAGATGGCGACCATTGACGTCCAATATCCATGAAGGCGGTAAGCAGTTTTAATACCATTTCCCCCAGCTAATTCCAGTTTTTTCTAACGGACCGTATCGCTAATCAAGCTATCAGTTCATAAAATCATAGTGTTATTCTTTAAATCCAAGTCAAAATACGAAATTTCGGCACACCCCTTGCCAGCTTCGTGTTAACCGCGCAGACAAAAACAGTGGAAAGGGACTGGAACTGACGTTCAATAACTCTTCAATTTTCGCCATCTTGCCTTCACTGTTTGGACTCGAGTTCTCAGTCCAGTTGTATATCGAGCTCACTCAAATAAACACGGATGTTCAAAAGTGACCTTTACAGAAATTCAAAGAAATCACTCGCGGAAAAGCGCAACCCACATAACGGCACATTAAATACTGTGCTATTTGTCCTACAGCTAAGAGCTCAACCATTGAACATTACAATTATATCATATTTACATTTATTCATATACAATATGTGTTAACGTGAAAGTGGCAATGTTAAACTATACAGAATTTAAACACTGATTCCTTCTTTCTCAAAGCCCTATTTTGCTCATTTCTTTTTGCATGCCATGAATAGGCTTGCACAACACCAGTGGCAACATGACGTTCGTGTGATTGGACTGCTCGATTGCAGGGTGTCCACCGTTTGGTGAAGATGAAATTCAAGGACTTTTCCAGGACTTTCGAGGCCCTTTTTCAGTAAAGTCAATGACCTAGAACAGGGAAAAATCTTTGAAAATGGCACGGATTTGCCGTAAATAATTCACTTTATTCAGTAACTTTAATCAAAATCACTAATGTTGGCACAGCTGGAGGTTAAGGGAATTAATTCCAGGACTTTCAAGGACTTCTACTGATTTTCAAGGACTTTCCAGTCCTGGAATTTTTTTTCCAATTCAAGGAACTTTCCAGGATTTTCAAGGTCCGTGGACACCCTGTCAATTGTCTTTTCATTGTTTTCCATTCCTTCGTGCCATTCTGCCGTAATATATAATTACAAAAAGCGCATATAATGGCGGCTACTTGTTGTTGGCCGACTTGAATGACTGAAAAATGGTGCTTAAAAAGTTATATAAATTAAACATGGTATATATCTTAAATACAATATGAACAAGTTGGGATACATATAGATACTGGGTAATTACAATGTTTATGTCTTTGCTTGTTGTTGAGAAAAATGTCGATACTCGGCGTCGTGTTTCTTCATAATTTCGTCCAGTTTCTCCGTCCAAACATCATTAAAGTCTTGAACTTCTTGCATCAGTGTGTCCAACAGTTCCATGTTGGCCTTGACTGTCTCGTACCCAGGCCCTGCCAGGATGGCTAGGTCATCTGTGGGAGAAAACGAGCATATGTTTAGCCTTGTTTACACTATCAAAGTTTCATGGGTAAATTCTAAGTTTTGAAGGATTTGTAAGAAATGTTTGAGGAAACTGACTTAATGTTCATCATAAATCACAATTGCTTACCGAATTCAGTGCTGTTCTTTTTGAAGTGCCTTTTATAGCCGTAGTCCCATATCAAGCCACAAGCCGAAAAAAACAACAGCATCCCAATACAGGAGAACAACGCATTCTTAAACATTGGTGTGTTTGCGTCAAATAGACCAGAAGCGATTTCCTCTGATGCACTCTCCTTTGGCTCCTAGAATAAAATGACAATACACAGTTGTGAAGTGACCTGCGTCTAGCTTGTTTTTCATCACATAAATTACGTAAACTGCACCTTATGAGACACACTATGAAATTATAGTCAATGTGTCACTGTTTATGAGGTTGATTTTTTTCTTAAAACTGCTCCCAGAACGCAGGAAGACTTTGAAATAATGGTCAGTGTGTCACTGTTTATCATTACTTATTTTTTGTTAAAATTGCTCCCAGAATGCAGGAAATAGCGTTTCTAAGCCTTAGAAAATCAAACATTTTCTGAGAGAGCATGCCCCGACGACTCGATTCGGTAAGCTAAAATCCTAGTTACGGACCTGTAAACAGAAATTGAAATTTTATATGTGTTAAAAAGGGCATGCTCACTTAACGTGAGTTTCTCGGTCACGTGGGATCAAATGAACAAGCCTTTACCTTTACAGGCGAGGTGTTGTCCTCAACAATTGTCGATATTTCGCCTTTCTTGTCCGAGACATAGTTATTAAAACATGTTTGTAGTTCTCGACTTGCCATTGCGTCGCGGAGCACGATGCCGTAAGAGGAATCGTAGGAAATGATCTTGTTCACTCGTACGTTGGAGGAAATATATCTACGGTTTGCGCCTGCAACGAAACTGTCCAGCAGTATACCATCCAACGAGCGGGACTCAAGTTCACTGAACATTGGTCCGAGCTCACTGAACTCTGCAAAGAAATTGACTGGAGTCATGATATGAGTCTAGTCTTTATCGGGACTGTGGTGGGGGTAGCGTCTTTCACCTGTGAGATCGTGGGTTTGATTCTCGCTACGGACTCATGTGAAAAGAGTCAGTCAACGCTCTGCCGAAAGTCGTGGGTTTTCTCTGGGTGCTCCGGTTTCCTCCCACAGGGAAAGTTGACAGGGTGGGTTAGGATAAACACAGTTAAGAAAGTAATATCACAATTGTTATGAAGAAAATATAGTCTAGGCTAAGTATTTAATTAGGTAAGTTTAACAATAGACCTTTCCCCCTATGAGTGAAATTTTGATCTAGATATGCCTGGACAAAAATTTCATCACAGCTTGAAAGAGCATCATAAAATTAGTAATATTCCGAAGTGTCGTTGTGAAATGTTGTAAAATGCGGATAATATAGCCTTGCGAAGTTTGCCGTTTTTCAGTCATTTTGTATTACAAATGGGAAATTGGTAATCAGTTTGATCATCTGATTATCAATTTCCCGTTTCTAATGCAAAATGACTGAAAAACGGCAAACTTCGCAAGGCTATGTTATCCGCATTTTACAACATTTCGCAACGAAACTTCGGAATATTACTAATTTTGTGATGCTCTTTCAAGCTGTGATGAAATTTTTGTCCAGGCATATCTAGATCAAAATTTCACTCATAAGGGGAAAGGTCTATTTGCGCTATAGAAATGCTAATTGTAATCGCAACAGTTTAAGAAAACCGTACCAATAACATCGGAATTCTTTTTCACACCCATACGATATTCTGTAGAGTTTGCCAGAGCACCAACCTAAAGTTCAAGAGATTTGATGATATATGTACTGTTTAGAACATGAGCAGCAGTGTTTTATCAGATATAAAGATACGAGGCGAAGCCGAGTATCTTAGGTCTGATAAAACACACACTGCGAATGTTTTAAATTACTTCAAAAACGATCGATCTAGTAAGTTCATTGGCGAAGTAATTTTCAAAAAATACGTTGCGTAAGTCGAGAAAATCAAAGTTAAAGTTTATGTAAATCAAGGGAAATCTCTATCACATATAAAGATACGACACGCTTATGATTTTTCTTTGTGTTTTCCTCGTGAATTATTAACGAGTTTTTGAATTAATGTAAGAGTTCGGTTGCTACCCAATTCACTCGCATGTCTAATTTAAAAGCTTGGTTACCTTTGTTTCATTCTGTACTCACATTATCATTCTATACTCACATTATCGTATTCGTATGCCTTTCGACATTTTGTAGACTGACATGTGTTGTTCGATAGAATTGACAAAACCAATCTATGAGTGTAAATATATATCTTACCTTGGCTCCATACAACTGAAGATCTGTGCTGAGAGTTATTGCGGTCAGTGATGTTGTTATTACACCTGTAGTTATAGAGATGACGACGAGACCAACCAGGACCCACAGGATAGCAAATACACGAGCTAAATAACCCCTAGGAGAACGGTCGCCATATCTATAGGAAAATACGCGCAAATAGTATCTCTTAAGTTTTGCATGAAAGTTGATTTTACAACGCTGCGTTTTTCTAGGTTGACGCGCCCAGTTATGTTGCAATAAGTCAGTTGGTACAATCGTCAATAAAAATTCTCACCCAACGGTTGTCATGGTGACAAACGCCCACCAGAATCCTTCGAAAACACCAATATGGAATGGACGTGGAAACTCATCAGGGTTGTACCAAGTATCCTAAACAAAGATACGCGCGTGTTAGTTGGCAACCGTTATAATCCACAAAGGTTTTATAATGCGCTGTGATATCGTTATATAATTCCAGTTAACATATTGGTCCAGTATCTTACCAAGGCCCACATTGCAATACCAGCCAGCCAAGCCATAACCAGAGTCAGCAATAGTACAGGCCATGCAGAAAGAACTGAGTTCAGAATTGCTTTGGCACTTTCGCTCGAGTCCTCCTTCATCACCAGTACTGCGACACCGGGTGAACTGAACAGCGGTCTGTAGTACTCGCCCTTAAGACAACACAGATCTTTTGTAAGTAGATTACATGCTGCTTAGCTTTTGTTAAATTTGCTACTATAGCTTTCTAATGTTTGTTCACTAGTTTATATTCTTCTATCAAAGAGCCTCATTGACATGCATAGTAGGCCTGTTAAAATAAAGTTGGCTGTCTACCTACCTACCTTCTTACTAAACCAGTTACCTACCTATATACCAACCAACATACCTTGTATTCTTCGTCTGTTTCTTTGCCTGCGATCGGAAATGAAAGATGTACGACCTGTTTTGAGCTGATCGTGTACTTAACTTCATTCAAGGATTCTTTGGGTGTCCCGTACCTAACATGGGAGATACCATGACCCTTACTGCAATTACCACAGCATTTGTCAATCATTTTGTCGATCAGTAGTGGAAATATTCCCTTAGGATGGTCGTTGTCTTTTTCCTTGATCACAAAAGGTGGATTGTGGAACCAGTTGGTTGTGATGTTAGGTGGACAGTGGCATTTTGCTGCGAAAATAAAAAATAATTATTAAGCCTTGGCAAGTTTCCGTGACAAATTTCCTTGACAAGTTTACTTTCTCGTGTGTATGATCAACAAATTTCCTTGACAAGTTTACTTTCTCGTGTGTATGGTCAACAAGTTTCCCTTGACAAGTGCGACAGTTTTAGGCAAAAGTTGTGTTTTGTAAATCGGCCTTTAAAACAGTGCAGTTAAATCTTACGTATCACTTCCAGTTTTGCAGTGGCAATATCCTCTCCCCAGGTGTTGTTGGCCACGCACTTATATTCTCCAGTGTCTTCGGGATATCGCAGGTTCGGAATGGTCAGCGTACCATTGTTGTCATCGACGGCGTCAGCAGGCAACGGCTTCCCATCAACTCGGGCCCAGTAACGTCTGGGGCGTGGATGGCCGTAAACTCGGCAATGAAAGGTGAACGATTCGGTTGCTTTCCGGGTCATTTCTTTTTTACAGTCCTTATCTCCAAAGCAAGTGATCATTGGAGCCTCTGTGAATATACAAAAAAATTGTGTTTAGCTTGTTTGGTATGACAGTTTGTGTGTTGTGTTGTGTTGTGTTGTGTTGTGTTGTGTTGTGTTGTGTTGTGTTGTGCCTGTATTCTGATATGCAGAATTCAAAATGAATTTCTTAAAACTTTTATGTCCTAAATTTCAGGCAAAATTGCTTAATTTATAGCCTGCCAATGCTTTCATGGTTGTAAAATTACTGTTACAGCTTTGTTGCACAATTATTCACCACCATTCAAAAGCATTTAGAAATTATTGCCACCCCCCCTCCCTTTCCCCTAGTGTCCGTCCCAGGTGTTTTACAACTTGTAGTACAATTCAACTCATCTTACCTGAATCCTTGTGTATTTTGTATTCCGCGTGGAATCCCCTGGCCGTATCACTGTCATCAGAATAAAATGAAATATGCAACTCATTGCAAGTCGAGTTGATCATCGGAGGCATAAATGTACCGCAATATCCATCAGCTCTACCTCCTAGGTTCCCAGAAATCCCCGACGTTCCTGTGCATCTCTCTTTGATCGTGACATAGTCGTAGTATTCGCAAACCTTGCTTTCCTCCAGCTCGAAATCTTTGAAGGTGAGGGAAACGGTTGAGCCTGTGGGTCCAAATATAAGCCAATTACATGTCTGGTCCGTCGGGTAGTTCTGATTTTCTGTAAAACCTGGGCTTTTTATTGTGCCTTCGCTGTCCAACAGTCGCTGCACGCCGCCGTTGCACGCTGAAAATACAAGATATTGTATTTACGTATTGTACACGCATAAAATCTCACAACTTGTCAACAAGATGTGTTCGCAACAGGCTCAGTGTAGCAAGCTTGTCAAGTTGTAACAATGCTGTTATTTTATCAAGTTGCTACAAGGTTGTCACTCACAACTTGTTGACAAATTGTTGAATTGCAGGACGATAACAAGTTGTTGCAACAACTTGTAACAAGTCTGTTGAGCTCGACAACCTTGTAGCAAGTTGTCAACAAGCTGGGAACAAGCAGTGCGAACACATCCTGTTGACAAGTTGTTGGAACAACATTGCTATACAAATCTGCTGCAGGTTTGTTAAAACTTGTGCGTTTTTGCGCGTGTACAAGACAGCGGACTCTAGATGAGCATATTAGCTCTTGGAGCAAACGTATTTAAAATATGTTTAAATAAAAAAATAGAGCTTTAACCTTAAGAAGAAGTTAATAAGAATAGTAGTAAATATGCCGAAACGTATATATTCATGAATCAGGATGTGTATGCTACTTGTTTGCGATTTGTTTAAGCTGTACTTTATTTCAGATTGTATAGATATATATTTTAGAATGCGCGATGATGCTGAAATCTTAGATTATATACACAGTCAATTCTTTCATCTAAATTTTTGCGAAAAAGAACAAAATATTCAAAGTTTATATAAAATATAAAAATTTAAATAAATTTTAACTGTTGAAGTGAAGTCTTTTTTTTTGCTACTTCTAGAAAGTAAAAATGTTAGCATTATCCTCGTCGACACCAGTGCATGTATTCTTCTCCGGTGGTTGAATCCGTTTCAGAATTCGTTCATTTGTATTTGTGGTCTAATTTAATATATTCTGTTGAAACAGGTGCTTCGAAAATATATTGTTAAACACAGTGTAGCTCTGTGAGACGTATATTTATTTAACTACACTGACACCGCGGCGTTTATTTTGAAAGTTAAGGACTTTAACACTAGCCTAGCTAAGGACTTTATAACACTGTTTCCTGCACCCTGCATGTCGATATGCAGAATGGACCGAACTCGTAATATCATAGCCTATAGTCAAACCACGATTTCGCCGTACGAATGTATTACTAATGCATGGAAATAATTTTTTTCCATGCACGATTTCAAATTCGTCCGCGATCTCGTTTGAAAATTGCCTTGACCTTAGTGTAACATAGATTAATAAGTAGATATATAAAATATCATTTTAAAAAGCTGCCCATGCATTGTTTTAGCAAACCTTGTTGCAAAGCAAGACATAGGGCAGTTCTTCATGTAGCCTATATACACCGTATTTATTTAACTATATGCCGTTTTTTTTAACGTATTCTTACAACGTAAAGTAAAGAATCTAGTTATGATTGCTCATAGTGCCCGATGTGTATGGTCATATCTTGTCATTCTATCAGACGGTTGCAGATTTTTAACAACTGCGTTAAACTTTGTCGCGAAGCAACTCAACTCACCTGCCCCTTCTGCCTGCTTTCCATTCAAAAACTAAAAATAAAAACACAATTTCAAGTTAAGTAGAGCTTTGAAAATACGCAGTTTCATATAGTAAACTCTTATTTCAGAGATATACAAAACCTTTTTACATTTAGTCCTAACACTTTGGTCCTAAATTTCGTGGATTCAAATTCGCATCATCGATTGTACTAGACCGCCGCTCAATGTGCTGAGCTGTCGAGCCAAAAGCGAGTTTCTTCTAATTTAAGTGCACGAAATATTGTCGTGACGATCTAACACTTATCTTTGAAGACATACATTATCTTATCTTTGCTTTGTAATAAAACTGATTCAATGTACATTAGCATGAAGAACAGCTTACCAGTATTGCGAAGAATGATAAAATCGTCCGAATTAAAACGGACATTTTTGAGAGGTATTCAATCTTGTGTCCTGTGTATGTCTTTGTGACGTACTCCACACTATTTTACGTTAAATTCAAACAGTTATTTCAAATTCGTGATAAGTTTTGTTGCGTTATCCGTCCTTCGCCATATATGTACTACTTCGCAAGCATATTTGACCGTGATCAATAATTAATGTATTCAAAGCATTACCAGCCGACCGCAATATGTGTTTGCTCGCCGTGTAACCAATCAGAATCGTGCTGACGAGATTGTTGCCTCTAGCAACAAACGGCATATAACAACATGCAAATTATTATCCCCTTAAAACGGTTGAAACGCACTGAAAATTGAGTGGAAAACTATGGAAATTGCCTTGCTAAATTACTTAACTTAAAAAGCTTGGTTTAACATGAGCGAAGTGATGAACGGCTGTTTGACTTCGTGCTGTTTTGCAGTCGGCTTTTAAGTTTGTTTCCATGCAACGTTTTTGTGTATTTTTCATAATGCAAACTGGCTTTTAAAATCTATTTAATTTTAAATCACTCGTGTATTTTTTATATAAACTGTTAACTCAAAAACATAAATTGGGGCGAAATGAGTGAAGGAAGGAAGTAATTTTACGGCGAAATACGTGATTTCACAAAATGTGAAAGCATTTTAGACATGGGAGATTTTTATTCTTTTTGCATGTAAAACCAAAGGGAAAAGGGGACGATAAGCCGCTTAAAACCTCCGTCTTTTCCTGTCGACAGTAGAAACGGAACTTTCGTAAAAGGGTTTTTTTCACGATACCGAAGAGTTTATTCGAAAAAATGTTTACGATTACCAAATGACACACAAAACATCATATTATGTAAATAAGCTAGATAAATATTTATTTCATATTGTTTGTATCATACAAGTGAAAATATCCCTTCAAGTGGTTCAATGTCCCGCCAAATATTTTTCGTCTCATTCTTAACCGATCCTTCGGAACTGGAGCTCGACAAATTTCCATCGCCGAAACTCTTATCATCGTCCTCGGTTTCCAGTCGTTTTCTCTTCGCCTCTTCCCGTTCTTTCCTCGCTTTTTCGCGTTTCAAAGCTCTTTCGATTCTCCTGTCCGCTTTCTGGCGTTCTTTTATATAAGATTTTATCTCTTTTAAATGTCTTCGTTTTGCCCGTTGAATGTTTCGTTTCATTTTTCTTGTGATTGTGTTGTCTGGTGAAACACAGCTCATCAATGCTTCTTGTCGCGATTCAAATGCTCTATCTCTTGCACCAGCTATCAACGCTGTGGTATCTGGAATTACAAAAGGTGAATAAAAATTACCCTATCAAACTAAATTTACTTTAAGTACTATTTAAAACACGAGTAGGAGTTGTCTAAGGAACCGGTCTTTATTTATGGTGGGGGGTGGCACCAAAGAGAAAAGGGTTGGGTAAACAAAATTTTGAGTGAGTAAAAGGTTGGGTAAATGAAAAACAAAACAACTCAAGGGTTGGGTAATAAAAAATTATTGTCATTTCCAAAGCACGATTCACTGAAATGTTGGAGACCAAAAAGTACTGTCAACAGTCAGATGTGAATATAATATGTGAATCAATCAGAGTCAATATCTTGATAATATTCCGATATGTTGAGAGACAGATGGTGTCTCCAAAGAAAGTACATGTGCAGACAACATGAAATTTTAGACTGCAGAAAATTGCACAAGCAGTTATCAAGCTCATGTCACAGAAGTGGTAAAGGACATGTGTGACAACTGAATGGTATCCGTTTGTAAAGTTTTTGGCCAGGAGTGGGTATTTATTTTTTAATCGATATTTGAGGTTGGGTAATCAAACTTTTGGCTTTTTAATGGTTGGGTCAGCAAAATTTTTGCCACAAAAAACATTTCTCTTCGGTGCCACCCCCCACCATAAATAATGACCGGTCCCTAAGCCGAGAAAATCAAAGCTAAAATTGATGTAAATTAACATGATTTTTTATCACGTACCGGGTGGGGCAAAAAAATGTACGACTGTTTGCTGCAAAATCAAAACTAAAAGAGCAACGACACTAAAACAAGTTTAATGGCATTCAGCGATATCCAACTTAAACTTTGATATATGCCATGCCCATTTCGATGCCATATTGTTAATGATACATGCATTTAAGCAGGAGTAAACATTTTTGGAACTTTTGATTGATTTAATGATTTAATGAGATTCGGCTAATATAGCGCCAGGGAGTTCGCCACAGGTTTCCCCAATTACGGCGACCCCATAATTAACTTTACGTTTACAATAATTTTAACAGTCGAAACGAACTAATTTAAGACAAAATACAATCGGTGCAAGAGACAACTAACAACAACTTAAAACACCATCAAGGGACCTAGCCCTTTTACATTTAACGCACACAGATTTCCAAGTTCGTGGATCGTCATAGTTATAAATATTAGATAGCGCGTATTTGTAGTACGTCTTTAGTCCAGATTTGAAAGCTTGCAGGCCAATATCTCTATTACGGAGGTCACTATTTAAAACGTTCCACGTTTTACACGCTCTAATAAGATATGAAGACTGGTATGTATGTTTATAGGGCCTTTTCAGCTAATTCTTGGCGGTTCCAAAAGTATTTGCTTACGTTTAAGCACAGTTATCTCAGCCAATATTGCATGAAAAGGTACAAGACATATATCAAAATTTAAGTTAAACATCGTAGAATATACGGTGACTTATTTAAGTGTAATAGCTCTTTTAGTTTTTGAGTCATGGTGAATCAAACTGTCGTACTTTTTTTTGCACCACCCGGTATAAAAAATTCCTTTGTCTTTTCTTCATGAATTATTAATCAGTTTTTAAAATCTTGGATAGCTCTATATCGTCTGTTCTATGTAAAGTTTTCTTGGAAGTCCATGCAGTACAGATGATGCCTGATTGGTCTAGTGTTGCTACAGGCGAAGGAAACCGCAGTACTTGGAGAAGAGCCTGCAGTAAAGCCAAACTGAAGCTGTTCAGAAGATTTCCTCCAAGGGACGTTTTGTGTTGACAATCCTTATTGTGATAACTGGTTGAATAGATTGACAATTTCTTACCTATTGGCATTCTGAAATGAGGCAGACATTTTGAAGTGTATGTTGCAATAACTCCAAGGAGGAAAAGGATAGCAAACAATGCCGCAATAATGATGATAACTTGTTGATATGTCTTCGAAGTTGCATCGAACAGGCTTCGCGTTTTGTCTACTCTTACATTCCGTGTTAGAACATTCTAAATAACAAATAATATCACGCTTAGATGGTGTTGATGGTAAATGACTCGCTTATTGCTATCAGTTTATGAGTGTATAATTAATTATATATGGATATTTTGCTGATTGTTTAATTCGTTTCCACAATAATTAGTTATTACTGATCTTCTAATTAGTGTCATTAATTGTTACAACATAATTGTCTAACTGACGATCTTCACAGATCGATTATTTCATTGTAACTGTTCATTAATTAGTACTATAAATTGTTACAAGATGTTTATTTATAACTGATCTTTTAAGTACTAGTTAAACATGAGCAGCCGATCCTTATAGAGCCGAACGCGAGAGTTTGTATATCAGATAAAGATCGGATGCGAATATTTTATCGTACTTAAAAAAACAACCCATCTTATGCGTTCATTGGCGAAGTTTTTTAAAAATAAACATTGTCTAAGCCGAGAAAATCAAAGCTGGAGTTTATGTAAATCAGGACAAATCTTTATCCGATTTACAAACATTGATTAAACATTCATTTCTTTTGAATTTTCTTCATGAATAATAAATGAGTATTTTCATTAGTGTTATTTATTGTTAATCCATTATCCACACATGAACGTTTGTGAAATTATTTTCTACCACGTTGAAACTATGTATTAATTGCTTGGACATTACTTCTAACTGGTCCTTAAAATAATGTGGTAAATTTCTATTTGATGATTGTTACAAAATAATTTACTAATTAGTAACATTAACTGCTATCGCAACAGCGAAGCTCGCCATTAATTGTGATAAACAAAGAAAAACGTAAATGAAATCTTGTCAAGTACCTTCAATGGTTTAACATGTTTGACAACAGACTGATGTATTTCGTCGGTCTCTTGTGTGATGTAACGCTCAAGGCAAGGTTGTAACTTGCGTCCTTCCCCACCTAACACCACTCCGTAGTTGAGGGAATAATCAAATATTTTATTTACAGTAAGTTTAGCATCATTGAACAAATCTTTAGCACTAGATACTGTATAGGTATCGATAAGAGCACCAAACACTTTATGCTTCAACAAGTCATCGTAAATTTCTTTTAAGTTCGAATACTGCACGTCTGAAAAGATATGATAAAAGTGGTTGTTGTATTGGTGGTGTTATTTTTATTGTTATTGCTGTCATCTTGTTCTTACAGTTATTGTCTAGTTGTTTTTTTTTGTAGTGATTACATAGTATTTGTTGTTGTTGATGAAGATGATGTTGTATTTGCTGTTGTGTTTAGTATTTGTTGGTATTGTAGTAGTTTTGGAGTTATTATCGTTGTTGGTTGTTGTTGGTTGTTGTTTGTTGTTGTTGTTGTTTGTTGTTGTTGTTTGTTGTTGTTGTTTGTTGTTGTTGTTGTTGTTTGTTGTTGTTTGTTGTTGTTTGTTGTTTTTGTTGGTTGTTGTTGGTTGTTGTTGGTTGTTGTTGGTTGTTGTTGGTTGTTGTTGTTGTTGTTTGTTGTTGTTGTTGTTGTTTGTTGTTGTTGTTTATTGTTGTTGTTTATTGTTGTTGTTTATTGTTGTTGTTTATTGTTGTTGTTGTTTGTTGTTGTTGTTGTTTGTTGTTGTTGTTGTTTGTTGTTGTTTGTTGTTGTTGTTGTTGTCCTTGTTATTGTTGTTTTTATAGATTATGGCAACCTATTTCAAACTGTTTATGAAAGGAATGACTACCTGGATCGTATCTGGCGTTCTTTTTAACACCAAGTCTGTATTCTGATGAGTTTTGTATAACCGCAATCTAAAATTAGGAATAAACTTTTAACAACTGGACTCGGGAATTAATCTCTGGGCAAATTTGGAAATATTGTTGCGGTAGCATTTGAAAATCTTTAATGGAATTTTTGTTTCTAATTTTTGCATGAACTGGTGCCAATAGGCTTTTCTCTGTAAAACCAATTTCGATCTACTGTCTCTTTTAGTGAATGTTGGGCAAATGGGAGGATAGTCAAAAGAGGATTTACTGTCAGATACAAATAATTTTTCATTTTAGAACGTAGATGAGAATCACCCTTTTTCCATAAACTCTGATATCCTCTTTAATGATGCTCGACGAGATTTCGTTCGTGATGTGCGCAACAAACATCACTACCATTATCTGACCACATAAAGTCCATAAAATAGCGACAAACCGGCCGATGACTGTTCTTGGAGTTTTGTCACCGTATCTAGTTTCAAACAAAATTAATATTTCTAAGTACCGTTTTAAGACTACGTTCACAAGGGACTGGGCGAATTTGGAATTGCCCAATTCTGTTTATTAACACTGGAACTCGTACGGTTGGCTGTACTCGAGTTTAGCAATGCAAATTCAGTAATTTTGTAATGGACATTTAGATCATCTCACCCGACAGTTGTGAGAGTTATAAAGCTCCACCAGAAACCATCCCAAGGTCCATAAAAAAATGACATTGGGAAATATTTGGGGTTGTGTTTGCGTTCCTGAAAGAAAAAAAAAACACAGAATTTTCAACCACTTGAAAATATGAAAACTGTGCAACGTACATTTATCATCTATCAAACCTATGTACGGCAATATCTGATAGAAGATATAGAGCCTGTGGTTTCTTTAAAGGACAAGATGATAATGAAGGTATCAGAAGAAGATGTGGAATGATAGATATTGCTGAGAAGATGAGAGAAGCAAGGTTGAGATGGTATGGATGTGTACTAAGGAGAGATGAAGGAGAGCTGGTCAGTGACATTATGGAATGAAGAGATCAGAAGATGTGGGGTGGTAGACATTATAGAGAAGGTGAAGGAAGCAAGGCTGAGATCGTATGAACATGTAATAAGAAGAGACGAGGAGAGTTGATCAGAGACATTATGGAATGAAGAGATCAGAAGAAGATGTGAGGTGGTAGACATTGCAGAGAAGGTGAAGGAAGCAAGGTTGAGATGGTATGGACACGTAATAAGAGGAGTTAAAGGAAAGCTGATCAGAGACATGGAACGAAAAGATTAGAATATGTGGTAGACATTGCAGAGAAGGTGAAGGAAGCAAGGTTGAGATGGTATGGACACGTAATAAGAAGAGACGAAGGCGAGCTGGGCAGAGACATGGAACGAAGAGATTAGAAGATACAAGAACATTTTTACTCATCTAAATAGGAATACATTAACTTACAATCAGCCACATGATGAGACCAACGAAATACGACGAAAAAAACAACACCAGGATAAATGTCCAAGAATCTAAGACGGTCCTGATGACTCTTTCGGATTCGTTAAACGTATTTTGCGAACTGATCATGAATGCAGCCCCAGGTGAATGGACTAGGGGAACGTAAGGAAAGCCGTTGGCATATGTCATCTTAAATTTCGTGCCATGTATGGGAAAGTGGAAATCAGTCTCCTCTCGTAGGTTATTTTTCATTTCAATTAATCCTCGCTGTAGTGATTTTGTTTTGTTGTTTCCTACGAAGTCTATGGTTGCCGAATCGCCGTGAACGCAGTCGCTACAACAGAATGCTACAGCGTGTTTTAGAATGTCTGGGAATATGCCAACAGCTTTGTTGTCTTCCAGTGTTGTATACGGTGCTAGCTGCCACCAGTTCGTTGTGAAGACTCGTTGGCAGCTGCAGGTTTCTGCAATGAAAGGCAATCATAACATTTGAGGTTAGGTAACAGAATTCATGCTGGATACCAGTGTGGCAAAGCTAACCATAGCAATAGGTCATGCTGTGCTAATTTGTAATGCTTTGCATTCAAACATTTAGAGATGTATTGTCTTTGAACTATTTAGATGGAGGTTTATTAGCATAGCATGACCAGTTGCCTTAGGTAGCTTCACAAATGCTGGATACCAAGAACTCTATTTGACCTGAGAGCCAAGAAAACGAAGATTAAGACGCAGATGAGTTCTCCCTATAGTGATCCAGTAAGAGCTGGGACTTCTTGGAACACTGTTACTCCAGGAAAAACCACCACAGTAGAGCTCACAGCACTTCACATACCCCACCTACCCACCCCACATATCCATCCCACCTACCCAGTCCCCACCTACCTCCATAACCCTCCTGACTTTCCACCCCATTTCCAATGGAGGTGTAAGCCAACACTTGAACGACATAGGTAGTAAATGGCTGTAGTCCTTTGATCAAGTATTCTAACTTGTCCGGACCTATATTTTCCCACTTGAATGTTGTATTGATAGTCTTGAGTGTATCTCGCACGGGTTTGTATTTTATGCGATATCCACGGAGGATGCCGTGGACGTAGTATGATGGCGTGATCGGTTTCCAGGTAATGGGCATTTCTGTCGAGCTCCAACGGTTGTGAACTTTGATGTTTAGTGGTGGTTTTGATGGTACTGAAAGAGAATTAAATGACTTTGGAATTTTGGGTGTTTCGCTCAACAGAACAGAAAATAGAAGGGTTTTGTGAACTTCAATATTAATCTCAGCTGTTACTTACAATCTTCAAGCGTGGTACAGTTGATTTCATTGCTTGCTTTTCCATCTCCAATGCTTGTATACCCAATCACCCTGATACCATACTTTGTAAATTTCAACAAATTCTCCAGAGTTATCTCGTATGTGAATGGTATAGTCTTGCCCACCATATAACTCCCATTCTTATCTATAGCCCGATATAAAATATGGTACCCACGTAAGATACCGTGAACTTGCTCGTTGGGTATTCGACCCCATTTCACCTTGATACTAGTGGAGCTTAAGGCATTAGCGGCTATGAAATTCACTGAACGACTTGGAACTGAAATAAAAGTGAACAAATGCATTGAACGAAATGTACACACGTAAAAATCGCACAACTTGTCAACAAGATGTGTTCGCAACAGGCTTGTAGCAAGCCTTGTCAACAAGTTGTAACAATACTGTTAGCTTGTTTATCCTAGCAACAGTCCTGTTTTAAACAGTATTCTCCTAAAATATAACCTGGTATAGAGCCAATCTTGTACTAAAATCTAACTTACTATCTTCAGCCGTTGGTACAAAAATCAATTGACTCTTATTCCCAATTCCTTTTGAGGTGAACCCAGCCACTCTAATATTATACTTGGTAAATTTTCGCAATCCAGTGATTTCTATTGCCCGTGTTGTGGGCGAGGCGTGAAGAAGTATCCAAGGTCGATTCTGAAAGGCTCGTCGCTTGTAGTAGACATGGTAACGCCGGAGAACTCCGTGTGTCTGTGCTTTAGGAAGTGGGTCCCATTCGATGAGGAGTGATGTTGAGCTGGTGTTGACCGCAAGAACTCCCGGCGGTGGGACACTTGGTACTGTAATATGAAAGAGGAGAGTTTGAATAAAACGACACGTAATAAGAAGGGATGGGGTGGCAGTCAGAGACATTACGAGATGATGAAGTCAGATGATGTGGGGTGATAGATATTGCAGAGAAGGTGAAGGTGAAGGGGGCAAGGCTGAGATGGTATGAACACGTAATAAGAAGAGATGAAGGAAGAGCTGTCAAGAGATATCACAGAATGAAGAGATCAGAAGTGCAGAGAAGTGGGAAAAGCAAGACTGGGATGGTATGAACACGTATTAAGAAGAGATATTAGAGAGGTTAAGATACCCCGGTTTCGGTGTACGGGTACGAGTAGTGTCATCTTGTTTTACTGATGTCTGTAATTCGATCATACTTTTTCTGTTTTCTTGCAATAGACAATGATATAATGCGAAAAATGTGCACCTTTATACATCGACGAAAATATTGCTAACCAAAATCATGCTACCCGTACACCGAAACCGGGGTATCTTGACCTCTCTATTAAGAGAGCTGGTCAGAGATATGAGACGAATGAGAACACAGTACGTGGTGGAAGGGGTGTGTGAAAGAATATCTAAATATCAAGGAACAAACACTGGACATCACACAAAGGGACAGAGAAGGATGAAGGACAACTACCCAAGTAGGTTATGAGTTAGTCTGGGATTAGAGTTTTATAAAAGCAGATTTAAATCTGAGAGTGGATATGACAAGGCACGGAAATGGTGGAGGACAAGAATCCGAGCAGTTGACCCAGGACAGGGTGAAAGCCAAAATATCTATTCTAGTCTTACCATCTTCGTCTGTCAACACAGGAATCTGTTTGCAAGGTTTCCCGATTCCTTTAACGGTCAATCCAGCCACCTGTAGGTAGTATTTCTGATACTTTCGCAGTCCAGTTAATTCCAAACTATATACATCCGGCAGTAAGGTGAGGTTAGTCCATACGTGAACATGATCAGCTCTGTAGAATATTCCATATCCTTGTAGAATGCCGTGGATGTGTTGAGATGGAATTGCCTCCCATGATATATTTACGCTTGTGGAGCTAGTGTTCTCGACTTTGATGTTTAGAGGGGGTTGACTTGGCACTAAAACATATGAAATTATCATATTTAACACGTTTACCGTGTTTCCTAGTACAAACTATAAATATTTAGGAAAGGTCCATTAGTTCCAGATCGGGATTTAACCTAAAACGTTAAAGCAGGGACGGTTGAGATTGACAAATTATTTTTTTAGTGATTCGACTTCATTTGAAGACCTCATGTTCTACTAGTCCTGCACTGCAGGCAGTCTGCCAACTGAGCTAACCCCATAATTGCCCTGGTATTCCTTGAATGGACCGGGGGTAGTGGAATTTTTCTAAAGTTTCTTCATCTGGCACCAGAGAGAAAGCTCATTAACTTCAAAAGCTAAAAGACCAACAAAGGAAATGCTCAATCCTCTTACCGTCTTCATCGGTTGTGATATAAGTCTGACTTGCTGGTCCGTTTCCAATCCTGTTGAATCCTGCTACGGTGACTTCGTAAGTTGAAAACTTCCTCAGATCTCGTGTGACTGTGTCTAGAGAGCTTGTGTTTAAGGTGGCTGACATCCACTCATCTAAAGAATTCAATACACAAATAAGAGAGGTTTATAAAAGTCGCAACATGGAGAGGTACTCCAATTCTCCCTCACCAAAAACTTAACCCTTTCTCCATAGTTGTGATCAGACATGGGCCGTATGGTGGTAGTCTGAGGCGTCCTAGTAAGCCTTCGAAACGACGACAAGTTTCACCTGCGTTCCTTTGAAATTCAGCTCTCAGTTACAATGTTTAACCAGATCATTACCTCACCCTACCCCCCCCCCCCCACACACACACACACACACACACACACACACACACACACACACACACACACACACACACATTCAATCCACACATATTTTTGCAGGATGTTTGTACCTGTTTTACTCAAACGATATTTCACTACATAGCCTAGGAATATTCCAAGATAATTTTCCTCAGGAATAGCAGACCATTGTATGTAGGCGCTTGTAGAACTCAGGTTGTAGGCAAATTGAATTTGTGGTGCTGCATTCGGAGCTAAAATAAAGAACAACAAAAATTAATCAATTTACGAGACCTTGTATTTGATCCTTGATTCCTACCTCGTAATACATACAATCAAAACCTCTAGGGAGAATGATTTAGATGGACGTAATAACAAGAGATGAAGGAGAGCCGATCAGAGACATTATGGAACGAAGAGATCAGAAGAAGATGTGGGGTGGTAGACATTGCAGAGAAGGTGAGGGAAGCAAGGCTGAGATGGTATGGACACGCAATAAGAAGAGATGAAGGAAAGCTGGTCAGAGATATTATGGAATGAAGAAATCAGTGAAGACTTGTCGCAAGATGAAGTGGACGATGTCACTCATGAATTTATATTGGAGCCTGGAGATTTGCTGTATTTTCCTCGAGGCACTGTATATCAAGCATACAATGTTCCTGGAGAAGTGTCAAGCCATATTTCTGTTGAATTATATAATAAACTTAGTTAAAGCTTAGTTTTTACCTTCCATTTCAGTCCAAACAACGATAGGCAAGCTTGCTACGCCTTCGCCCCGTCTATTGCGCGCCACCACTCTGATCTGATAAGGATGAAATATTTCCAGATTCTTTAACTCTGCACGATAAGAGTTTGGATCCAATATAGTTTCTGTGTATTCTGACGTATGATTTTCAGCGTACAGTACGAGAAAGTTTGTGAGATTGCCATTGGACTGAGATATTGGAATGTCATTCCACGTGACCATGATGCTTCGCGAGCTTGTGTTGTACGCTGTTATGTTCCCGGGTGGATCAGAGGGAACTGAAGAAGAATATTAGATGAAATGAATGGGGCTTCGGTGCTTTGAAGAAATGAAACTCTCAAATCATCTTACCATCAATACTCTTCATATTTATACCAATAATATCTAATTCTCCCAATTTGTTTTGTAGAAATATTTCATCCTGTAGGTCCAACACACCAGAATACAAAATGTTGAAAAAATGAATTTCAACCAAGGCAATGACACTTCCTTTCCTGGGAACGAAACACATAAGGTAAAAGTTGAATTTCTTTTGAGATAATTTATATACATTTTGAGTTACTACAGGAAGACGTGTGGACTAACTTTATTTATTTCGGATGGCTCTAGTAATTTGTTTCCCCAAGTGCCATCCGATTTACCCCTTCCAAATGGAACACTGTTTTGATTATAAAACACGATACGTGAAACAAATGAATAATTGTATATAAACATACCATAATTTTAAAACTTTCATTCTGCGTAAAGGCGAATTGTCGCCATAAAAATCTATCACCTAGAGAAACCAAAAAAGTTCAATTGTAAGACAAAAAACTAAGAGATCTTCAAGAAAAGATTCTTTAAAATTTTCTTACATTTCTTAGTATTTTCTTCTCGAGATTCTGGTATTCCAAGCTGTTAAAATTTAATAACGAATCTCTCCATTCTTCAGACGTAATCTTGATCGTTATTGTGAAAAGAATATCTAGAAAAAAGTTACAGATATCTTAGGTATTTGAATATAAATTAAAGTTCCTTATCAAACACTGTTTCTATTAATGCGATGTTGGTGGTAGATTGGTTTGTTCATGTTCCCTGTACCTCGACTAGGGTTCACAATTTATGCAACATGCAAACACCTGATTATAATATCGCCTCGGTTACATATTGCGAAATGTTCTTCCCAAACCAAACAGCACAGGTTGTTTCTGAACTGACCGAGCTAGCCAGCATAATAAACTTTGTCATGACCAATACTACATCAATGTATCGTTACAAATGTTCATAGCAAAACTTACCAGGACATCTTTGAGGATTACATTCCTCGGAGTGCACCCCAGACTCTCCCGACACCACCGTACATTCACTCCCACCGTATTGTGGGGGTGGGTTATCACATTTCCTGATCCTCACCCTCCTACCACTTTCACATGTTTCCGAACACTCCGAAAACCCCGACCACTCGCTCCACCCTCCGTCAATGGGACATGGAAAAATATTACAGGTCCGTATTTGCCTTGCCGCGCCCAGTCGAGCGCAAGCACGCCCGCCAAATCTAGGGGCTGGACTATCACATTGCCGCGTTCGTATTTGACGACCATCCTCCCCGCAACTGGTGTTACATTCGGAAAACCTTGTCCAATGTCCGTATCCGCCATCGACTGGGCAATCTCGTAAAAAGCAAGAACGTGTTTCGTTTTCTGGACCTAAATCACTGCAATTTTCTCCGTTATACATTGGCTTTGGGTTGCTACAATTTCGGGTGCGAGTTTGGGTGCCATTGTTACAAGTCGTGGAGCATGGCGTGAATTCCGACCAGGCCGTGTAGTTTCCGTGGACTGGGCATGGGTGAGTGTTACAGAGGACCTCCTCCAAATTTGGTCCTACTCTCTCGCAATCTCGTCCGCCATGTGCAGGTTTAGGATCGGTGCAATTTCTGGTTCGGTATTTCGTTCCGATTCCACACGTTTTGGTACAAACACTGAAGTCCCCCCAATTCGAATACCCGCCGTGAATTGGACAGTAGTGGATGTTACATAGTCTGATTTCGTAATATGGCCCTAAGTGGTCACAATCTCTGCCTCCATATTGTGGAATGGGGTTAGTACAAGACCTTAACCTTGTCTGTCGCCCACCGCCACACGATAAATTACAGTCCGAAAAATTAGACCATAGAGTATACCCCCCATGAATGGGGCATGGGTGTGTATTACAGCTCTCAATATCTACATCGGGGCCAAGTACTGAGCATTTCGTCCCCCCGTGTTGTGGAGTGGGGCTATCACAAGTTCGATTCCTTGACCGGGTTCCATTTCCACAACTTTTTGTACACTTCGTGAACCCTTTCCACGCAGAGTAACCTCCGTGGATCGGGCAAAAATGCGTATTGCATCTCCTAGTTTCTTTAGTTGAGCCAAAACGTTGGCAATCATGCCCGCCATGTTGTGGAGTTGGTTCCGTGCAAGTCCGCACTCTGGTTTTCTTACCCCCTCCACATGTTAAAGTACACTCCGAAAATTTAGACCATTGGGTGTAACCGCCGTCGATTGGACATGGAAATTCATTACACGCAACAACTTCAAACGAAAGTCCAAATTTTGAGCAATTTCTTCCTCCATGAAGTGGCCTCGGGCTGTCGCAAGTTCTGTTTCTATATTTTGTGCCGTTCTCACAACTTTTCGTACAAACACTAAAATTCCTCCAGGTCGAGTACCCTCCGTGGACTGGGCACGGTATGAAGTTGCACAGCCGAATCTCCCGAGCTGCCCCTAAGCCCGAACACTTTTTCCCGCCATATTTAGGCTCAGGCTGGGTACACGTTCGTATACGAGTTGAGAACCCTCCTCCACAGGTTTGACTGCAAATGCTGAATTTACTCCATTCCGAATAACCGCCGTTTATTGGACATTTTCGATCCATGCATGACGCCATCTCTGTGGTTGGTCCCTGGCGACTGCAGTTTCGCCCCCCGTGGGCTGGCCTGGGATCTGTGCAAGTTCTGCTGCGAGAATGAACGCCCAAACCACAGGTCACTGAACATGGCGTGAACTCAGACCACGGACTGTATCGACCGTGAACTACAATGTAAAAAAGGCAAAACATCAACTTTGACATACAAAGATCGTCGATAGTACTGAGTCCTAAGGCCCGTTTACACTTGCAATGGACCATTTGCATTATAGACTAAATTTTGATCTAGACAAAAATTTCATCACAGCTTGAAAGAGCATCACAAAATTAGTAATATTCCAAAGTTTCGTTGCGAAATGTTGTAAAATGCGGATATTATAGCCTTGCGAAATTTGCAATTTTCAGTCATTTTGTATTACAAACGGAAAATTGATGCCCCAACACCCGATTGGGCTGTCAATTTCCCGTGCGTAATACAAAATGACTGAAAAACGGCAAACTTCGCATGGCTATATTATCCGCATTTTCCAACATTTCGCAACGAAACTTCGGAATATTACTAATTTTGTGATGCTCTTTCAAGCTGTGATGAAATTTTTGTCTAGATCAAAATTTAGTCTATAATGCAAATGCTCCATTGTTGCTGCGATTTCTAGTGCGATTCTCTTCTTCTGATGGATGTGAACGAGTGATGAGTAATGAATGTTCAGGTGAGGGCAGTGAACTGTAATAACACTGGAACGCTAACTGCAGATAAACATGCCCATACTTGCCTGAAGCCAAAATGGCGCTTCTCGCGAGCACGGCCAGCAATAAATTAACTTTCAAAAGGACTGGGGAGAGTTTCGAGGAGCGGGAAATTCAGTCAAAAGTTTGTTTTTGAGCGAAAATCAGCAAGAAAAAGTACTTTTTTATCAAAAGGCTTCAACATTAAAGATTCAAACCTGGTTTCCTGGATAGTTCTAAGTATTTTACATCCACTAACAGCAAAAACTTCCTGGGTAACAGCTTGATATTCAAAATATTACACAAGTTTGAACGTGCCGAAAAAAACTTCGCACTTTGACTCCTGAAAAAAGAACTTTATAACTGCTCTACGTTCTGGAAACATGTTTTGTATTAAATTTCAGGTATAGTTGAAAGTTTTAAGCTTTTTTCCTTGTTGAAATGCAGCTATTTAGTGGTCGAAAACAGACATCTTTTTGGTGGCGTATTTTCCACTCCATACGTACATGGCGGCCTTCAATTTGGCTTCAAAGATGGCCGCCAAGTTATCGTTCCAGTTCCCTTAGAGTTCACTGGATGAGGGTGGACCATTGAACTATAAATAAACTGGAAGGCTAACTGCTATGATGAAGGCCTATGATTTGATGAAGCCAAAATAGTTTTTCTGAGTTATGAGCAGAAATACTTGACCCCAAACGTTGGGCTATATATCAAATTGAAGCTATTGAAAATTGCTATTTGGTGTGGAAATTTCAAGACTTCAGCGAAAAGAAAAATCTTTAAAAAATACAAAAACAACTGCAAAACGGCAAATTATCGGTAATTATGTTTGTAGTTTTTCAACATTTCCCTTTTAGCTAAAGTCTAGAATTTTTTATACCAAATAGCGTTTTTCAATAGCTTCAATTTGATAT